TTTTTTGAGACAAGAGTCTCCCTCTGTTGCCCAGGTTAGAGTGCAGTGGCCCGATCTCAGCTCACTGCAACCTCCACCTTCCAGGTTCAAGCGATTCTCCTGCCTCAGCCTCCGGAGTAGCTGGGATTACAGGCACCCACCACCATGCCCAGTTAACTTTTTGTATTTTTAGTAGAGACAGTGTTTCACCATGTTGGCCAGGCTGGTCTCAAACTCCTGATGTCAAGTGATCCACCTGCCTCAGCCTCCCAAAGTATCAGGATTACAGGCATGAGCCACTGCCCCCAGCCACCTTTTTTTAACCTTTTAGAGCTTAGTTCCAATGTCACTTCCTCAGGGAGCCCCTCCTTGACCACCCTACCTAAAGTAGACTCCCCATCTACCCTCCCTAGTGATTCTATCATGTCACGCAATTAGCACACAGCATTTAGCATATGGCCATTTAACATCTGTCTTCCTCATGTAAGAACACATCTTGTCTGTCTGTCCAAGTCACCACTATATTCCTATGCACAGCACAAGGGCAGTGCTCAGTAAATATCTGTTAAGTGGCCTAAAACCTGTAAGATAGGGAGATCCAAAAGATACTGGGAAATAAGACTTATGGACGAGCATGGTGGCTCATGCTGGTAATCCTAGCACTTTGGGAGGCCGAGGCAGGTGGACTGCTGAAGCCCAGGAGTTCAAGACCAGCCTGGGCAACATGGCAAAACCCCATCTCTACCAAACATTACAAAAAATTAGCTAGGCATGGTGGTGAGCACCTGTAATCCCAGCTACTTGGGAGGCTGAAGTGGGAGGTTGAGGCTGCAGTGAGCTGTGATCACGCCACTGCACTCCAGCCTGAGTGACAGAATTGGAGTCTCAAAAAATAAATAAATAAATAAAATAAAAATAATAATTTTAAAAAACAGACAAATAAGACTCCCCTCTCTATCCTTCTGGCATAAAGAAGATATAGCAGGTTGGTCATGGTGGCTCATGCCTGTAATCTCAGCACTTTGAGAGGCCGAGGCTGGTAGATCACCTGAGGTCAGGAGTTTGAGACCAGCCTGGCCAACATGGTGAAACCCCATCTCTACTAAAAATACAAAAAAAATTGGCCGGGCATGGTGGTAGGCACCTGTAATCACAGCTACTCGGGATGCTGAGGCAGGAGAATCGCTTGAACCTGGGAGGTGGAGGATGCAGTGAGGCGAGATCGTGCCACTGCACTCCAGCCTGGGCAACAGAGTAAGACTCTGTCTCAAAAAATAAAATTAAATTTAAAAATTAAATTAAATTAAAAAATAAAATAAAATGATGGAACATATTTATTCTAGGCAGAAGTTGGTAGTTGGCATCACTCTCCAATATGAATGGCAGGAAAGAGGTCCTCTCCAAGGAGAGGGAGGGTCGGCCTCCAGTCTGCAGTGAGAGAGTTCCAGAACTTATCTAAGAGGTAGAAAGATTCTGTCAAGACAGTATAGGCTCAGGGCATCTGTTTATCTCTGTTGTGGGAAGGGTGGGAGTACTGGGTGTGGGAGATGGGAAATGAATTGCTCTAAGTCTGTGGTTTGGACAATTTCTAATAATAACCACTACCACTGGTATGTTGTTGAGTAATATGCAATGCAGTTCACAGACATGTGAGCATGGGTCCATGCACACAGGGTGTGTACTGAGGAATGTGGTGTATGCGCAGCCCTTAAGAGCCAGGCATATGTCATGTGTGTTTTGCAGACCCTGAAGAGAATTTCAGGGAAAAGGAGGTATGTCAGGCTGTGTATGTGTATGGGGTATGTATGTATGTGGAGTTTGTTGTGTTACTTCACCTGCAGGAAGATCACTAAATATAAGCAATAGCCCTTGTCTCCACCAGTGGCTTGGGCCAAATGAGATAGAGCTGTTGCCCCACCTGGGACAGGCAAGGCCACTGGGATGCCAAGGCAGGGTGGCTTGTTAGTGTGCACAGTCACATGTTCCCAGCCCTCAGTAAAAGTGCCCTGTTGATCCTCCACCCTCACCCAAGCAAACTCAGCCCCCTAGCCCTACCTGCTGCCTCCCTCCTGAAGACTTGGCCCTCTACCACCATGACCACTACTGTAGATAAGCTGTGTGACCTGGCTGAACACTGTAGCCCTGACACATCATGAATTCCAAATTCAGTAAATCCAGAAAACACGGAATAGGCTAGGCAGCGTGGGTCAGAAGCTCTCTGACCCCTCTCCTAAGCTCCCTGCTCATCTATAGGGAGGCATGGACTAAGGAAGAATGGGTAAGGGCAGGTAGTGAGAGAACACGGGCTGAACAAGCATAGGTTCCTGTTGCCAAGTTGGAAAGTGGCATCCTCTGAGGGTCTGATACGATCTTTCTCTCTCCTCTTTTGCGGGTTATATCCTAACCCCCTACCTCCATTCCAAATTATTTTATTGAGACAGTGTGACTTCATCACCCAGGCTGGAGTGCAGTGGCGTGATCTCAGCTCACTGCAACCTCTGCCTCCTGGGGTCAAGTGATTCTCATGCCTCAGCCTCCCAAGCAGCTGGGATCACAGGCATGCCCCACCACACTGGGCTAATTTCAGGGTTTTTTTTTTTTTTTTGAGATGGAGTTTCACTGTGTTGCCCAGGCTGGAATGCAGGGCCGTGATCTCGGCTCACTGCAACCTCTGCCTCCCAGTTTCAAGCAATTCTCCTGCCCCAGCCTCC